CCTGCCTCCATTTCCATAAACAAGTCAAAGAGACTTACGATCCATTACAAACATCATTTCCTTGAAACAAAGCCTTGGGCAATTGTAAAATAACTACTAATACAGCGGCAAATTGAATTGCCGTTACCTTCAACGAACTAAAAACCCTGTATTTCGTGAATGTGAACAGGGTCTTAACAGCGCCAGCAATTAGCGGACCAATACACAAATTTTTAACATATGCCGTTTTATTTAGAAAACAAAAGAGTTAATGGCGCCAAAATGGCTTCCGAGTGGCTAAAAGTGCGTCCAAATTATATTTTTAGTGATATTAGGACAATAATTTGTTTTGTTTTTATAGCAGATGTTTTCACTTCAAATGTCATAATTTCATTTTAATACAACAGCCCAGCTCCTTTCCTATGAAATTGAACAACTTAACAGAAGGACAGCGAACGCAATGACAAGAAGGCAAACCTACAAATCCTATTAAAATAAACTTTTACACCAAATGCTGACAATGGTGACAGTTAAGTTTTGTTACGTTAATCTGAAAAAATGTGTCTCGAGTTCCTGTTCCGTTCTTTACCAGATGTACGGGAAGTTTCCCCATGACTAGTCAGCTTCTCGCGAGCACGGCGGAATACAGTAAATTTGAGTAACAATATATCACAAAGCTTTTCAATTTCGTAACTTTTAAGTTGACAGATGTCGCATTGAAATTAAAAAAGGCTTTTAAAAGCATCGTTGGTTGGTAATCCTATACGAATCTACTGGTACGCGCTAATGGATAAAGCCCCTCCCTCAAAATATTTGGCCGCTGAATCGGTAACTACATTACACATAACAAAGAACTGAACGATATCATTTGAGTTCAAATCACTCTCTGCTTTCACGACGACAATATTTTCACTGACCGTTCCGTGGTTCAACTCTAGTGTCCCATTTGCCTGAAGGTTACTTCAATAATTACTCAAGAATTCAGGTATGTTAGAGATTTCAGTCCTCAAATTATCATAAATTTGCCTTATTCAGCGCAAATCGATTGCTATCTAAAATAGCATTTTCGATTGCTTTGTCCAGGAATTTTGTAATCTTTCGTTCTCTTCCTAGTTAAATGCCAAAACGTTCTTGGCAGAAAATGCACAGATCAAACTCGCTCCTTTGTCGCTTAGATTTATTTCACTGTATAAAAAATCATGTCGGCATCGTCAGTTTAGTAAGTACTAAATTGAAACCGGGCATACATTGAAGATTGATTGTAACATGCTCTAAGGTTGTAAAAGCCTCATCAAATTGTAACTCTCAGTTGTCGACAAAATTGGACTCATTTGTTGTTTGTTTTTCTTCGCAAGCTACAAAATTTAGTATAATCTGAGAGGTTGGTCATTTTACGGCAACATGATTACCTTTTCAATAAAATTATGCTATGCGACAATTTAGGTATACCGTACGTTACTTAGGATACGCATCTACACTAAATAGAAACATATTGTAAATATCATATTTTGAAGTTTTGTCAAGAAACTCTAACAATGAACTTCAAGTTTACCTGAATAAAGCGAACTCATCATGCAGTTTATTTTTTGAATCGGAAAAATAACAATTTTTTTGCGGAAGATGTCATTTTTTTGGAATTACTAGGAGTAAACAAATCAGTTGTTTCATCCAAGCAGAGTTAATATTGTCGCAGAATAGCACGAGGTGTAGGGGTTTCTTGCATGTTTACCGTAGTAGATTGCTTCATATTCGACCCTGGGAAATGAGCTTTTGTTTATATGAGGCAGGAACCGGACGTGTTTTGTTTCGTAAACTGAGCTGCCTTGACATTTTTGTCTTCGGTAATGATATTAGTCTTAATCTGAATTTGAACTGTTTGCCTGCTGTTAACATTTCAATCTTTAAATTTAGAGGCAAAGCCGTGAAATAAAAGTTGTTAATCTTCACTGGAGCTTAGCCCAAAACATAGATGAAGAAAAAATGCAAAAAAATAGAGATATGCAAAAAAGGTTCCATTTCGTGGGTGAAAATTTCACCAACTAGCAACTGAACAAAGCCCAGCTTCCTGTAAACGGTTTGTTTCATTATTTGAACATAGAAAAGCGATGAATTCATTAGTACAACAGCGAAAGTAAAAAGGTTTCCGATATGCACACAGGAATTGTATATTTTTTTAGAAGAGGGAAAGAACTGAGTCTCGGCGAAATATTTCTCTTGTGAAACTACTAAAACAGTTCTTTTCTAAGATATGGCGGACAACATCTGTTTTCATTGTTTTCCGGAGAATACATGCGATTGCTCCCGGCCGGGATCGTGTTTCCTACAACCTGCTATTTTACTGCCTCGTCATGTTCGTTCTCTTCCTTGTGACGTTTCGTGATCTTGACACGATGTGGGTAATCAAGGAATGCATTTTCAGATGGTTTAGCAAAGAAATGTAACTCAAAACGCGATATCATTATTTTATATACATTATTACACTATCGAAATAGAGAGTGGACGAAGGAAAATCCTTCATCGGGTGTAAACAAAGGCCCGTGGTAGCCAAAAAAGTCGTTGGACACGATGACGCCCAATTAAACAATATTTTCCTGTCGAAAAAAAAACATATTGAGAGGTCTAGTCTTGGAAAGGATATAAAGAATCTCTTGATTTGGTCTGAAAGAAGGAAGCTAGTTATGATATATGGGTACATTTTTGAGGGTTACAGTTACTAATTTAATGATCCCGATAAGTTCGGATCCCTTTGAAATTCTGTCAGAAGCCTTGGTAAGAAATAGCTGCTTTTCATTTTCATTTCTAATATAATAGAAATTCTTTGAACAATTTTCATTATTAAGACAAAAAACTATCATACAAAAGCCTTACAAATCAGAAGTTTCGCTTGAATTACCACAAATTGGGATTTCATCCACAGACTTAGTTTAAAAGTTGAACCACTTTGTACCATAAAATAAACAGAATTTGGATGCCCAGTAGCTTTCTCTAGCTTAATGGTCCTAGACTACAATATCATTCACTGTACATCAATGTAAACAGAATCACATGACAATACAGCTCAATAGCTTTCATTTGGTCACAAACTAGGGCTTCATCCACAGACTTAAAAGTTAGAATCACCTTGTACAGCATAATAAACAGTACCACATGAAAGTACTGCTCAATTATAGCTTTCATTTGAATCGTCACACACTAACCTACTGTACTATGTCTTCAACCTAAACTTCGACTGCCATCCATAGTTCTGAGAGCAAAAGGGCTGCGAAGGAACAAATTACACTATAACAAGAAAATAAAAATTGAAGCTTATAGTATTTTTAATAGTGACGAAATTGCCATAATACAGCAACTGCTAAAAGCCGGAGTTTGGGAGAACAAGAAATGCTTTGGGAACACGGGTCGATAGGATAGTGTTTCCACAGCTTTTTCGGAAAACATGTTTATTTCTATTTCTTTTATAAAATACCGCGACGAAAAAAATAGAACTTGTTTACTTTAATGATCAAAATGTAAATTACCTTTGCTCGCGCCATCATTACGTCAACAGCGTGTGCTAGTTCTGTGTTTCTACCAAGTTTTAGTATAAATCTGCTAGCGTTCTATCAAGAATGGCGTTCTCTGATTGGCTAGGTTACTCACTATCTATTCTGTTGTAGATGGTGAGTAGCGTAGCAGTGTGCGCTTGTTAACAAAATAACGGCTGCTTCTTTGCGTTTTCGAGGTGTCTGTAAAGAGGAGTTAGATAAAGTTTTGAAAGACTAATAGATTTATCCTAAAACAATTAGATTATTCGCTCTCGATTTCTATCACGGATAGAAATATAGAGCTCATAATCTAATAGTTAAATAGAAACATGATTTTTAGCCAATCGACGCGCGTATTTTCATCGGGCTATTTTCTAAATTGCTTTAAGTGTGCTAGATCATTATCATCATCATTATTATCATCATCATCATTATTATTATTATTATTATTGTATTAATATAGTTATTTTAACCAAATACAAATTTAAATTGAAGGTAACCTGAAAATAGTACTTTACTAAGATAGAAATACACCAAAAAGATAACAATAAACACTAAAGGAAGAAGGATGCAGAAGATTAACACAGATTACAAACGATAAACTTTTCAATATCATTATTGTTATCATTATCATTATCAATATCATTATCATTATCAATATCGTCATTATCATTATCATTATCAATATTATAATTATTATCTATGATAATCCCTCAGTTTTCTTGTTTCTTTGGATTCAGGATCATGAGTGAAACAAAGGAGTCTGACAACCAAGAGGAAACTAGCACTTCCCCCTCACTACACCACAGAGTCCCAAAATGCGCTCGCTGTCGTACACATGGCACGGTATCATGGTTGAAGGGCCACAAACACTACTGCCGCTGGAGAGACTGCACATGCGCAAAATGCCAGCTGATCACTGAAAGGCAACGCGTGACAGCCGCACGCGTTGCGTTACTGAGACAGCAACGCAAAGGAGCTGAACTAAGAGCTAAATATCAAAGAGAATTGGAAAACGCCCGTTTGACGTACTCCATGGTGTTCCAAACAAACGGATTACCAGGTAAAGCCTTTTTCAATTTTGTTTCCCGAATGGTAACATTTGCATGTCTAATTGCCATTTGGTACTAACAATAGCGTTGTTATATGCTTTCCTAGGATTCCCAAATAATCATCGACACCACTTTTATCATAAGCACCCTCACGCAGACATGAGCCACATTGAACCAAGGATAACAGAAATCACGCCATTATCAGGTAAGCATTACCAAACATTACAGCCAAGCTCAAAACAGAGCTTTTTCGCTCTTTTGAGGAGGCAGCGTGGCCGACAGACCTGCAATTCGCAGGTCACAAACTTAAGTGGCGTTCTAACCGCTAACGAACAAGCCGGAATTGTTTCATGGTAGACCCAAGTTCAACCTCTCTGCCAAGGTCTTTCTACATCATGTACCTAGGATGAACAAATGACTCTTTGTCACGTGATTGCCATTCACAATGTCTTTTTCGGAATCATTTTCAGAATCCCTGAAGAGATGCAACTCAGTCTCCGAAGACGACGAAGAGGAAAGCACAAGCCCCAAAAGAATCGCTCTGTCTCCTGACCTCCACGTGAAAGCGGAGCCACGTGAGCACGCCGAAAAAGACCGTCATGAAAGTTTACCTGAGACAAGAAAATCTCCAGATCACTCCGTCGACAACATTCTCAATTCAAGTAACAAATATCTACTGGAAAACCTTCATGATAGGTCTCAGGAGTTCAGGTATCCAAGGCTGTCGAAGGAAATAAGTGCTCTGTCCCTGAGACACCCGCCGATGGAACTACTCGGCAAGCTCTTTCCTCATCACAACAGGGGCACGTTGGAACTCATCCTTCAGAGTTGCAATGGCAGCGTCGTGGAAAGCATTGAACTTCTCTTGTCCTCCCAAGAGCAGAGAGGCAACAAGATGGCGTTGGGTGGCTGTGGTTTTCCTCCAGCCAATCACCATTCTCCTTTCCTTCACGGCCCAATGACTCGAAACGTCATCACAAGACCGCTGCCCAGTACTCATGCATGTTCACCATCGGCGATTTACCCACCATCGCCACTTCCGCCGCCACTTCTTGTGAAGCCTAAACCGGAAATGGCAGTTAAGTTTTCCCCTATGGCGCATGCTCCCTATGGGGCAGAACCGAGGCTAGGTGAAAGGCCTTGTGGACTTGGCATAAGCCGGTTTTGTAGCAGGTGTGGTTACAAGATAAACATGTTTGACAAGTTTTGCGCGCATTGTGGAAAAGTTCTCAGTGAAACACCCAGTGGTCTTTGAATGACAAGTCTGGGGAATGGATTGACTTTTCAACTGTTCGCAGTAAAGTAGAAATTTAAATTTTTAATGACAATAACATATTTCGGATTTGCATTAGTACACAAAGGTCATCAACATAGCTTTTAAGGTAGAATGACATCGGCGGCATTCAAAATCTCTTTTTACATCAGTAGAAAATGGTAGAAAAAGCCCTTTGGTATTTTGCTTCTATGGCCTCAATTTCAAACTAAGGAAGTGAAGCAACTGAAAAAAAAATTAAGCGCATAGAAACTGCAATTGCATCTAGTTTCTCCTCAAGGAAGCACCAGATTTTCAAGATGACGGACGATGAGAATACAGAGAATAGTCAAGCAACAAGATGCACTACAAAATTCTCAGATCTAATTTTATAGGAATATACGGTAGTAAGTATGGAGAATTTAAACTTTTAGTTCGACGCAGTGAGCGTTTAATATAGTGAGTTCGTTCCATTTCGTTTAATAGCGGATAGCATCATACTGAAACTTCCGCAAGGGGCGCATGTGAATTCTTGAGGTACAATGAAGGATTATGGGAATAAAATGCTCATATTGTTGTAATTTCGAATAATTGACAGGATAATGATTCATAGCGCGCATTGGTTAGCACTTGAAAGGAGCTGCGTCACAATTTGCGCATCTTGAAAAGGTCAACCTAAATTTTTCAAGTTCGTCGTTTACAATCCGTGTTAATCTTTTCCATCCTTGTTCCGCTTAACGATTTATTTTTATCTTTTTGGTGTTTTTCTTTCTAAGTAAACTATTATCTTCAACTAATTTTGTACGCGGCCAAAATAACTCAAAATGCCGTGACTTAGCTCCCTTAAATTAAAATAAAGAGACAATCAAAAAACGACTAAAATTACCATTAAATTAAACCAAAAGTGTATTTGAAAAATTATTTTGCAAATTCCTGTGTGACTAATTCATAATCTACTTTCTCCTCTACAAATTAGTACAAAGCCAAGTAAGGAAGTTGTAAGGATAAACAAACTGATCACTAGAGGCAAACTGGCTTGATATCAAATAAAATTTAACAAGCTACCTTAGAAATGTCTGGAAGCGTGCAAAAAAAAGTTCATCTTGTTAAAAGATTTTTAAAGGATTGTTAAAGGAAACTAACATGGTGTAAAGGAAAAAAGATGTTTTTAGTGGATTTTTCCATGGTCTTAAGCATGCAGATAATTTTACTCAGTACAGCCAACTTCCTCTAATTCAGACGAGCTCATAATCAGTGACTAGACTTTTATTTTAGAGATTCTTTTCTCAACGTGTCCGTCCTCTAATGAGGAGCGTGCTTAGTGATTAAAGCATGTCAATCAAGAAGTTGACTGAGAAAATTTGGCTTTGCAGTATCTGTAAATACTGAGCAACGAACTGCAAGCTAGTCAACAAAACTAAGGAAGCTAAGGAATATTTATATAATTGTGATTAAGAATCAATTACTTACTTCATTAATAATAATCATTAAGTTTTATCAATAAATTGATTATTATCGGATATGTGTTTTTAGTCGTAACTTTCTTTATAACAGACGGTTAGATTCTTTATTCTTTATCGTGGGTGGTTTGAGACAAAAATTAGGAAACGCGTTTCTCTTTAATGTAGGAGGGGTTCGTTGAAACAGAATTACTTTCCATATCCAAATATCAGATGTTTTACCATTCTCCTGTCATCTTTCGATATCACATCAACGGACCGACCTGGTATTTCACGTTATTATGATTATCTCGAAAAAGGGCAAGCTTTCCTCAATGCTTGGCTTTTAAATTCCGAGAACAGAAAGGCCACCGTAAACGAAGAAACATTGTGGGGCGATCTGCACCGTCTACAATGTTCTTTGTAATAGACCAAACAAAACAAAAGATAAAAAACAAAAACAATTCCACTAGTCCCAAGAACAAAAGAGGTGCAGATTGACAGAACATTGTTGCCGAACATTGTTCCTAAAATTGGCTCTTTGGGGCACATACGGGGAAGCTTTTGCCGTCAAATAAAGCAAACTGCTTTTAAAGAATACACCATTTGCTAATGACGCGCGCGCAGTGGCTAGTGGGCTTTATCGGGTAGATGCCAATGTTTCGAATGAGCATCCTTTCCGGAGAAAAATTTTTATTTTCTTTGCCGCGAACACAGGGCTGATTCAAGCGACAATATGGTCAAAAAAAAAGTGTGGATTAACAGAAAATGCAAGAAAAGGGTCACTATGCAGTGTGGTAGAACAACTACCATCAGCACCATAAAAACAAGTGCAGCAGAAAGGAACCTTATTATTTTGCCGTTTTTTTTTTCTCCTTGGAAATATGTCCCGCTACACCATGCAATGCTGTGTGTGTGCTCAACATTTGTCACCTTCTAGAACCAATTTCTAAACAGTAACACATCAATGCAATTCTTTACAGCCTCCGTCGGAATGGTTACACCATTGGTTGGAAGCCGCAAAAGTAATTAGTTATTGGTCGTATTAACGATCCATTAAAATTTTGAAAAATTGAAAAACATGACATAGGAACATCATGTTCCTCGACCATCTTGCTCCTTTAAGGGAGCGGGCTTGGCGCAGTGGTGAGAGCGCCCGCCTCCCATCAATGTGGGCCAGGGTTCTATTCCCACCCGATGTCATCGGTAAGTTGCGTTTGTTGTTGGTTCTCGCATTTTTCTCCGGGTTCTCCGATTTTCCTCCCGCCTGAAAAACCAACATTAATTTCTAAAATTCCAATTCGACCAGGATAGAGGACCTGCATGAAAACCAGCTAAGGGTGACGTGGCTTCCTCTCTAAATTATTTTTTTTTTATTTAATGACAGGTCAAACCAAATTGTCCGTAGATACATTTTAGGAAAAGTCGCCACTGACGTCTAGAGTTCACTGCTTCAATGCTTTTAAATTTAAGAGCGTTCAAACTTGGAGAGGGCCACCTAAGATCCTCCACATCCCTCTCCCCTCTGTCACCCCGCGTCTGAATAGGGTTAAAGAGGTGCAGCCTTCTTACGATAGCCGACACACAAAGAGGCAAAAGAAAGGTGCTTTACTTCAGTAAAGAACCAAAATCACAGAGATACTATCATGATGTCTGATTTCTTAATTCTTCAAGCGTCGACTAAAATAGTACGCAGTGGGTATGAACCTATCACTGTGACTATTAGACATATGCTAAAAATAAATACATCAAATGCATAAATAATGAAAGCACCGGAAATATTACGCTGTGGAGACAAAATTGGCCTGCGAATATGCGGCTTAAGTGTCGTCTAGACCGTTTCTGAGACTACTCAGTCTTACTCAATAAACTTCTGTTGCACAACGCGCCATTTTCTTTGGCCTAACTCACTTCTGAGAAGATACCGGTAAAATAAAATGTCCTTTATTAACCCTCAGTCGGTGAGTCAACGATAGCCGAAGCTTGAATTGCTGTCTTCTTGTTGCGTAGTTAAATGCGCTATTAATATTTTCTTAAGGTATATTTATGATCGTACTAAGTCAAACATCTTTAAAATTTCAATGGCTTTTAACAATTTTTTCTTCCTTTTTCGGTTTTTGTAAGCTTCTTAACTGCAAAAGCGGAAAGAATTAGGCTGGTGAAATGAATGTTTATCACAAAAAGACTGTCTTGTGTTTGAGCTCAATTTAGCTGTAGGCCATGACCGCCTGAGACAGTTGCTAAACCTCTTTCAACCAAAATTGTTAGACTGCTTCATTCACTTGGCACAGTTCGTCTCGTAAGATTAAAATACTGGATACAATTTCAAGGCAAAACTGATTACAGCCTTGTTTGTCTGAGGATAAAAACATCTCAGTTCGCAGAAATGTATTCAAAGCATAAGTTTCTGAATCTCCCTCCTTCGTGACGTAGCTTCTATAAGTTCCGCATCAAAACTACCCAAACTGTTTTTTTTTTTTAATCGATTTTATATTATTCCTCTCGGAAGAATTGGTGAATTTTTTTCCCTCGTGTTACCAGGTATAGCGTACAGACGTAAAAAAAATAGGTCAGATGAGAGAGATAAAACACATTTCGTTATGTCAAGTCTGCAACAGGGTCTCAAGGAATTAAAAATCATAAATTTTGCTCTTAAAAATGGAAAAGTACAGTTAAAGAACAACGCGACAAACAGACATAAAAAACACTTATTTTTTCAAAAGGNTATTATAATTATTATCTATGATAATCCCTCAGTTTTCTTGTTTCTTTGGATTCAGGATCATGAGTGAAACAAAGGAGTCTGACAACCAAGAGGAAACTAGCACTTCCCCCTCACTACACCACAGAGTCCCAAAATGCGCTCGCTGTCGTACACATGGCACGGTATCATGGTTGAAGGGCCACAAACACTACTGCCGCTGGAGAGACTGCACATGCGCAAAATGCCAGCTGATCACTGAAAGGCAACGCGTGACAGCCGCACGCGTTGCGTTACTGAGACAGCAACGCAAAGGAGCTGAACTAAGAGCTAAATATCAAAGAGAATTGGAAAACGCCCGTTTGACGTACTCCATGGTGTTCCAAACAAACGGATTACCAGGTAAAGCCTTTTTCAATTTTGTTTCCCGAATGGTAACATTTGCATGTCTAATTGCCATTTGGTACTAACAATAGCGTTGTTATATGCTTTCCTAGGATTCCCAAATAATCATCGACACCACTTTTATCATAAGCACCCTCACGCAGACATGAGCCACATTGAACCAAGGATAACAGAAATCACGCCATTATCAGGTAAGCATTACCAAACATTACAGCCAAGCTCAAAACAGAGCTTTTTCGCTCTTTTGAGGAGGCAGCGTGGCCGACAGACCTGCAATTCGCAGGTCACAAACTTAAGTGGCGTTCTAACCGCTAACGAACAAGCCGGAATTGTTTCATGGTAGACCCAAGTTCAACCTCTCTGCCAAGGTCTTTCTACATCATGTACCTAGGATGAACAAATGACTCTTTGTCACGTGATTGCCATTCACAATGTCTTTTTCGGAATCATTTTCAGAATCCCTGAAGAGATGCAACTCAGTCTCCGAAGACGACGAAGAGGAAAGCACAAGCCCCAAAAGAATCGCTCTGTCTCCTGACCTCCACGTGAAAGCGGAGCCACGTGAGCACGCCGAAAAAGACCGTCATGAAAGTTTACCTGAGACAAGAAAATCTCCAGATCACTCCGTCGACAACATTCTCAATTCAAGTAACAAATATCTACTGGAAAACCTTCATGATAGGTCTCAGGAGTTCAGGTATCCAAGGCTGTCGAAGGAAATAAGTGCTCTGTCCCTGAGACACCCGCCGATGGAACTACTCGGCAAGCTCTTTCCTCATCACAACAGGGGCACGTTGGAACTCATCCTTCAGAGTTGCAATGGCAGCGTCGTGGAAAGCATTGAACTTCTCTTGTCCTCCCAAGAGCAGAGAGGCAACAAGATGGCGTTGGGTGGCTGTGGTTTTCCTCCAGCCAATCACCATTCTCCTTTCCTTCACGGCCCAATGACTCGAAACGTCATCACAAGACCGCTGCCCAGTACTCATGCATGTTCACCATCGGCGATTTACCCACCATCGCCACTTCCGCCGCCACTTCTTGTGAAGCCTAAACCGGAAATGGCAGTTAAGTTTTCCCCTATGGCGCATGCTCCCTATGGGGCAGAACCGAGGCTAGGTGAAAGGCCTTGTGGACTTGGCATAAGCCGGTTTTGTAGCAGGTGTGGTTACAAGATAAACATGTTTGACAAGTTTTGCGCGCATTGTGGAAAAGTTCTCAGTGAAACACCCAGTGGTCTTTGAATGACAAGTCTGGGGAATGGATTGACTTTTCAACTGTTCGCAGTAAAGTAGAAATTTAAATTTTTAATGACAATAACATATTTCGGATTTGCATTAGTACACAAAGGTCATCAACATAGCTTTTAAGGTAGAATGACATCGGCGGCATTCAAAATCTCTTTTTACATCAGTAGAAAATGGTAGAAAAAGCCCTTTGGTATTTTGCTTCTATGGCCTCAATTTCAAACTAAGGAAGTGAAGCAACTGAAAAAAAAATTAAGCGCATAGAAACTGCAATTGCATCTAGTTTCTCCTCAAGGAAGCACCAGATTTTCAAGATGACGGACGATGAGAATACAGAGAATAGTCAAGCAACAAGATGCACTACAAAATTCTCAGATCTAATTTTATAGGAATATACGGTAGTAAGTATGGAGAATTTAAACTTTTAGTTCGACGCAGTGAGCGTTTAATATAGTGAGTTCGTTCCATTTCGTTTAATAGCGGATAGCATCATACTGAAACTTCCGCAAGGGGCGCATGTGAATTCTTGAGGTACAATGAAGGATTATGGGAATAAAATGCTCATATTGTTGTAATTTCGAATAATTGACAGGATAATGATTCATAGCGCGCATTGGTTAGCACTTGAAAGGAGCTGCGTCACAATTTGCGCATCTTGAAAAGGTCAACCTAAATTTTTCAAGTTCGTCGTTTACAATCCGTGTTAATCTTTTCCATCCTTGTTCCGCTTAACGATTTATTTTTATCTTTTTGGTGTTTTTCTTTCTAAGTAAACTATTATCTTCAACTAATTTTGTACGCGGCCAAAATAACTCAAAATGCCGTGACTTAGCTCCCTTAAATTAAAATAAAGAGACAATCAAAAAACGACTAAAATTACCATTAAATTAAACCAAAAGTGTATTTGAAAAATTATTTTGCAAATTCCTGTGTGACTAATTCATAATCTACTTTCTCCTCTACAAATTAGTACAAAGCCAAGTAAGGAAGTTGTAAGGATAAACAAACTGATCACTAGAGGCAAACTGGCTTGATATCAAATAAAATTTAACAAGCTACCTTAGAAATGTCTGGAAGCGTGCAAAAAAAAGTTCATCTTGTTAAAAGATTTTTAAAGGATTGTTAAAGGAAACTAACATGGTGTAAAGGAAAAAAGATGTTTTTAGTGGATTTTTCCATGGTCTTAAGCATGCAGATAATTTTACTCAGTACAGCCAACTTCCTCTAATTCAGACGAGCTCATAATCAGTGACTAGACTTTTATTTTAGAGATTCTTTTCTCAACGTGTCCGTCCTCTAATGAGGAGCGTGCTTAGTGATTAAAGCATGTCAATCAAGAAGTTGACTGAGAAAATTTGGCTTTGCAGTATCTGTAAATACTGAGCAACGAACTGCAAGCTAGTCAACAAAACTAAGGAAGCTAAGGAATATTTATATAATTGTGATTAAGAATCAATTACTTACTTCATTAATAATAATCATTAAGTTTTATCAATAAATTGATTATTATCGGATATGTGTTTTTAGTCGTAACTTTCTTTATAACAGACGGTTAGATTCTTTATTCTTTATCGTGGGTGGTTTGAGACAAAAATTAGGAAACGCGTTTCTCTTTAATGTAGGAGGGGTTCGTTGAAACAGAATTACTTTCCATATCCAAATATCAGATGTTTTACCATTCTCCTGTCATCTTTCGATATCACATCAACGGACCGACCTGGTATTTCACGTTATTATGATTATCTCGAAAAAGGGCAAGCTTTCCTCAATGCTTGGCTTTTAAATTCCGAGAACAGAAAGGCCACCGTAAACGAAGAAACATTGTGGGGCGATCTGCACCGTCTACAATGTTCTTTGTAATAGACCAAACAAAACAAAAGATAAAAAACAAAAACAATTCCACTAGTCCCAAGAACAAAAGAGGTGCAGATTGACAGAACATTGTTGCCGAACATTGTTCCTAAAATTGGCTCTTTGGGGCACATACGGGGAAGCTTTTGCCGTCAAATAAAGCAAACTGCTTTTAAAGAATACACCATTTGCTAATGACGCGCGCGCAGTGGCTAGTGGGCTTTATCGGGTAGATGCCAATGTTTCGAATGAGCATCCTTTCCGGAGAAAAATTTTTATTTTCTTTGCCGCGAACACAGGGCTGATTCAAGCGACAATATGGTCAAAAAAAAAGTGTGGATTAACAGAAAATGCAAGAAAAGGGTCACTATGCAGTGTGGTAGAACAACTACCATCAGCACCATAAAAACAAGTGCAGCAGAAAGGAACCTTATTATTTTGCCGTTTTTTTTTTCTCCTTGGAAATATGTCCCGCTACACCATGCAATGCTGTGTGTGTGCTCAACATTTGTCACCTTCTAGAACCAATTTCTAAACAGTAACACATCAATGCAATTCTTTACAGCCTCCGTCGGAATGGTTACACCATTGGTTGGAAGCCGCAAAAGTAATTAGTTATTGGTCGTATTAACGATCCATTAAAATTTTGAAAAATTGAAAAACATGACATAGGAACATCATGTTCCTCGACCATCTTGCTCCTTTAAGGGAGCGGGCTTGGCGCAGTGGTGAGAGCGCCCGCCTCCCATCAATGTGGGCCAGGGTTCTATTCCCACCCGATGTCATCGGTAAGTTGCGTTTGTTGTTGGTTCTCGCATTTTTCTCCGGGTTCTCCGATTTTCCTCCCGCCTGAAAAACCAACATTAATTTCTAAAATTCCAATTCGACCAGGATAGAGGACCTGCATGAAAACCAGCTAAGGGTGACGTGGCTTCCTCTCTAAATTATTTTTTTTTATTTAATGACAGGTCAAACCAAATTGTCCGTAGATACATTTTAGGAAAAGTCGCCACTGACGTCTAGAGTTCACTGCTTCAATGCTTTTAAATTTAAGAGCGTTCAAACTTGGAGAGGGCCACCTAAGATCCTCCACATCCCTCTCCCCTCTGTCACCCCGCGTCTGAATAGGGTTAAAGAGGTGCAGCCTTCTTACGATAGCCGACACACAAAGAGGCAAAAGAAAGGTGCTTTACTTCAGTAAAGAACCAAAATCACAGAGATACTATCATGATGTCTGATTTCTTAATTCTTCAAGCGTCGACTAAAATAGTACGCAGTGGGTATGAACCTATCACTGTGACTATTAGACATATGCTAAAAATAAATACATCAAATGCATAAATAATGAAAGCACCGGAAATATTACGCTGTGGAGACAAAATTGGCCTGCGAATATGCGGCTTAAGTGTCGTCTAGACCGTTTCTGAGACTACTCAGTCTTACTCAATAAACTTCTGTTGCACAACGCGCCATTTTCTTTGGCCTAACTCACTTCTGAGAAGATACCGGTAAAATAAAATGTCCTTTATTAACCCTCAGTCGGTGAGTCAACGATAGCCGAAGCTTGAATTGCTGTCTTCTTGTTGCGTAGTTAAATGCGCTATTAATATTTTCTTAAGGTATATTTATGATCGTACTAAGTCAAACATCTTTAAAATTTCAATGGCTTTTAACAATTTTTTCTTCCTTTTTCGGTTTTTGTAAGCTTCTTAACTGCAAAAGCGGAAAGAATTAGGCTGGTGAAATGAATGTTTATCACAAAAAGACTGTCTTGTGTTTGAGCTCAATTTAGCTGTAGGCCATGACCGCCTGAGACAGTTGCTAAACCTCTTTCAACCAAAATTGTTAGACTGCTTCATTCACTTGGCACAGTTCGTCTCGTAAGATTAAAATACTGGATACAATTTCAAGGCAAAACTGATTACAGCCTTGTTTGTCTGAGGATAAAAACATCTCAGTTCGCAGAAATGTATTCAAAGCATAAGTTTCTGAATCTCCCTTCTTCGTGACGTAGCTTCTATAAGTTCCGCATCAAAACTACCCAAACTGTTTTTTTTTTTTAATCGATTTTATATTATTCCTCTCGGAAGAATTGGTGAATTTTTTTCCCTCGTGTTACCAGGTATAGCGTACAGACGTAAAAAAAATAGGTCAGATGAGAGAGATAAAACACATTTCGTTATGTCAAGTCTGCAACAGGGTCTCAAGGAATTAAAAATCATAAATTTTGCTCTTAAAAATGGAAAAGTACAGTTAAAGAACAACGCGACAAACAGACATAAAAAACACTTATTTTTTCAAAAGGCTTCCAAAGGCTTTGCTTCCACTTTGTTCACAAATCAATGCAATGAAAGCGTGGCAATATCTATGGTTAAATTCTCTTCCTAGGAATTTAGGGTGTTTTTGATGACAATATACAACAAAAACGAAGACAAAACCAAACAAAATGACTGAGGCAAGTGAGCTGCGGTCCTGACGCAAGCTACAAGTCAGGCGGAAATGCCTGGCGTTGTCTCCGTGAATTTTTTTAGGAGTTTAATAAGAGTGTGTATTTTCTTATAAAAATATGGTAACATTTTGCTTTACGAAAGTGATTAAAATCTGATCTCTCCTTACGATGCTAAGCAGACAGGTGATAGCTATAAACGAGAAGATATATAATAAATTACCTTCATATTTGGGACCCTGAAAAAAGCTTAAAAAATACAAAATACCGAACTCGTTACCTTGCGCACGTACGAGACTCGAAACGATGTAACTTCATATTACGAAATAGTTGCGTCAGATTGTTTTCGTTTTTAGCAAGGATGAAGTATTTTCTTGCCAAGTTTAGTCATGTCGTGATATCGAAGTCCCCGCCTGAGATATTTCCGTGAAGCGGAGATTTGTTACAGAGATTCGAAGATATATTTAGATATCTCCGTATTACGACTATTACGGCACGTTCTCCGGTTTTCTAACAATCGTACATCAATGGAAGCGCTTTGTTGTTAAGATATTTCGCAGGTAAGTTCCAAATACTAAAATAAATACGCTGTAATAATTACTTCTTTGTGGGCTACAGACCTTACAAGAAAGACATATAAACTGGTACACGTCAAAAGGCGTACCTCCAAATAAATTCGAAAACCGGAAATCTCTACTGAAGACATCCTGTGTTGGTTTGGCATATTTTAAAACAATCGTATTTCCAGTTAAAGACCCCAATCTCCCATATTTCACCATAAAATAAGACAAGATATTTCCTGGTTATTCGTATCTCAGATAAAATCTTGCCCCGGCTTCATTTTTTTCACTTTATCCTAAGATACTCTGCACATGACATCAAACATTTCTAGTTTTCCCGCGCTCGCTCTCTTCACGTGACTACAGGGCTGGCCTTGCATATATATAGACGTGGTACTTAAAGTCTTCAAAAATTTGACGCGCGGATTTGACCACAAGTGGTTTGTTGAAGAGCGAACGACTTTCTAAAACAGAAATGAGCATTTTAGTAACAGCGATAAGGTCAGGTAATTTGGAAGTCGTGAAGGAGAAATTTTCTCGACCGGTAAGTTTCCTTTTGAATTACTTTAAAGTTTTAAAAACGGTTAGAAGCGACAAAGTTATGTCTTGATTAAGCTTACGGTGGATTTAGCGAGTTAGCTTTAGGACGAAATGCCCTACATCTTTACGTCCATGTTTAAGAGCGGTGTTTGCTTCGGTGAAACTAGATTTTACTTCATATGATCTTAAAGTATGTATCACTGCACGTAAAGCCTGGTGAAAAGTCATTGTCTCACACAAGCGACAGATAGTCTGACTAACGCGATGTTATATACAGGCGCTGTTATGGAATCCCTAAGTACCAAGTTATGAGAATACGAAATATTTTAAACAAGACCTTGGTATGATTTTAAACCTCTTGCCTCGCTCAGGGAAGCCAGGTCAATACTCCCATTCAGCATGGACGCAGCCCACTTCACATTGCAGTCCAAGCACAGAAGCTGGACGTCATGAAATACCTTGTCGGGAAAGGAGCCGATGTCAACGTAAGTTATTTACTTGAGTTCATTTACGAGGCTTCAGAGATACGGAGTCAAGACAATAGCAACCACTTCAGCTGAATGTCGTGTATGACACGCTTTTTCGTTCAACTGGCTGATTAATGAATTGAGTCTATCTTGATAGCTGAATAGGTGTCCCGCTGGCAAAATAAAGCGATGCGTTGAATGCAAAGAAAACATCGATGGGAAGAAAAAAAAACATCAGTGTTCTCCTCCATTGGTTTGACAGCTCGACGCCTATTAGACAGAATTTGCATTTTATTTCTCACGTAAGACCTTTCGACCTTTGCAAGGAAGCCTACACGCCTATCTGCTGTCACAGTCACTTTTAATTCTCTCTTCAGTTTAAATAAACCGCTATCATGCTTATTTATCCACAAGCAGAAGAAAAGCAAGGAAATTAATTTAGTCTGTATCAGTGATTGGTTGAGTGATGATCAATACGAAATCCTTGTTTATCGTGCACGATAACTAATTGAGCGTTGTATCCCTAAGATGACGTCATACCAAATTAAAATACCTCAATTTGTTTGGCGATGCATTTAACTCAGGTGAACATCTAGCAGTAAATGATAGATAAATTCCTTATTGCATTCCTGCGATATTTACTTCAACCTTAGCTTTTCCGCAAGCCTTTGAAGTTCGGTATTACCACCACATTCCTACTGCACTAGACTCCTAATTTATACGTCTGTGCACATGCACAATGTCACGTACTATGCGAACATTTTTTATTGACTTAGTAATCAACGCCTCAATCCTTCTAACTCGGAACAAAACAAAATTCTTAACTGTTTGCATATATTTTCCCCGAGGTAAAGCTCTGAGAATTGAGTGGAAAATCAAGACAATTTTTATTTGTTTATTCTCGGAATGAAATTGTCTGGCAAAAACTGACTTCCTCGGGCATTGTAACAACGAAATATTTAAGTTGTAGAATATGCTCTCTTGAGCCATGTACAGTGTAAGGTGGTTCTAACTTTTTAGCCTGTTGATGAAAGTCGGAGATATGTGAAGCAGAGAGTACATTTAAATGACAATTTTACGTCTACGATTATGACTTCCGTGTTTACAGTTTCCCCTCATCAGTTAGTGGAAATATGAACTTGATTTACCAAATGACCGCGTCAGCTAAAGAACACATCAAAATTCAATGTTGGCGAGGGCTAACTAGAGAACAGGGCAGCTAAATAGCCGCCCGCTACAGTCCACCGAATCAAGTTTAACGGACGTAAACACAAACCCATACCCTCCTCGATCCATGAGAGGGGAGAGAGGAGGCTGGATGGAATTACCCGTTTGAGTTTTCGTTGTAAGAACATACCAAACTGTTTTGAATTTGATAGACTAGCTCTGGAGGATGAAATTTTTTTTGTTGGTAATGACGCCATGACGCCATCTTGGATTTCACTATTTTCTCAAAAACTCAGAAAATAACATCAGCCGATGGAAAACTGATGAATCGAAGATGATGATAAAATGTAGAGAGGTACTTATTCTGCAACGAGGTTGCTTATTCTGTAATGCTGCTCAAGAAAACTGTAAAAACGGAGAATTTTGTCAAAAAGAAAACATTTGGCTAGACCTGCAAATCAAAATACTGTCTCTATGGTAATCTAAAATGACAAGGAGAAAAAGTTGACACATCAAAACTTCACCAAGGGATGAATGAACTGCTACTTAAAGTTTCAGCGTAAAAGAGTGAATCCAAACGTCTTTAAAAAAAAAAAATTGAAAAAAAAAAAAAAAANACAGAACATTGTTGCCGAACATTGTTCCTAAAATTGGCTCTTTGGGGCACATACGGGGAAGCTTTTGCCGTCAAATAAAGCAAACTGCTTTTAAAGAATACACCATTTGCTAATGACGCGCGCGCAGTGGCTAGTGGGCTTTATCGGGTAGATGCCAATGTTTCGAATGAGCATCCTTTCCGGAGAAAAATTTTTATTTTCTTTGCCGCGAACACAGGGCTGATTCAAGCGACAATATGGTCAAAAAAAAAGTGTGGATTAACAGAAAATGCAAGAAAAGGGTCACTATGCAGTGTGGTAGAACAACTACCATCAGCACCATAAAAACAAGTGCAGCAGAAAGGAACCTTATTATTTTGCCGTTTTTTTTTTCTCCTTGGAAATATGTCCCGCTACACCATGCAATGCTGTGTGTGTGCTCAACATTTGTCACCTTCTAGAACCAATTTCTAAACAGTAACACATCAATGCAATTCTTTACAGCCTCCGTCGGAATGGTTACACCATTGGTTGGAAGCCGCAAAAGTAATTAGTTATTGGTCGTATTAACGATCCATTAAAATTTTGAAAAATTGAAAAACATGACATAGGAACATCATGTTCCTCGACCATCTTGCTCCTTTAAGGGAGCGGGCTTGGCGCAGTGGTGAGAGCGCCCGCCTCCCATCAATGTGGGCCAGGGTTCTATTCCCACCCGATGTCATCGGTAAGTTGCGTTTGTTGTTGGTTCTCGCATTTTTCTCCGGGTTCTCCGATTTTCCTCCCGCCTGAAAAACCAACATTAATTTCTAAAATTCCAATTCGACCAGGATAGAGGACCTGCATGAAAACCAGCTAAGGGTGACGTGGCTTCCTCTCTAAATTATTTTTTTTTTATTTAATGACAGGTCAAACCAAATTGTCCGTAGATACATTTTAGGAAAAGTCGCCACTGACGTCTAGAGTTCACTGCTTCAATGCTTTTAAATTTAAGAGCGTTCAAACTTGGAGAGGGCCACCTAAGATCCTCCACATCCCTCTCCCCTCTGTCACCCCGCGTCTGAATAGGGTTAAAGAGGTGCAGCCTTCTTACGATAGCCGACACACAAAGAGGCAAAAGAAAGGTGCTTTACTTCAGTAAAGAACCAAAATCACAGAGATACTATCATGATGTCTGATTTCTTAATTCTTCAAGCGTCGACTAAAATAGTACGCAGTGGGTATGAACCTATCACTGTGACTATTAGACATATGCTAAAAATAAATACATCAAATGCATAAATAATGAAAGCACCGGAAATATTACGCTGTGGAGACAAAATTGGCCTGCGAATATGCGGCTTAAGTGTCGTCTAGACCGTTTCTGAGACTACTCAGTCTTACTCAATAAACTTCTGTTGCACAACGCGCCATTTTCTTTGGCCTAACTCACTTCTGAGAAGATACCGGTAAAATAAAATGTCCTTTATTAACCCTCAGTCGGTGAGTCAACGATAGCCGAAGCTTGAATTGCTGTCTTCTTGTTGCGTAGTTAAATGCGCTATTAATATTTTCTTAAGGTATATTTATGATCGTACTAAGTCAAACATCTTTAAAATTTCAATGGCTTTTAACAATTTTTTCTTCCTTTTTCGGTTTTTGTAAGCTTCTTAACTGCAAAAGCGGAAAGAATTAGGCTGGTGAAATGAATGTTTATCACAAAAAGACTGTCTTGTGTTTGAGCTCAATTTAGCTGTAGGCCATGACCGCCTGAGACAGTTGCTAAACCTCTTTCAACCAAAATTGTTAGACTGCTTCATTCACTTGGCACAGTTCGTCTCGTAAGATTAAAATACTGGATACAATTTCAAGGCAAAACTGATTACAGCCTTGTTTGTCTGAGGATAAAAACATCTCAGTTCGCAGAAATGTATTCAAAGCATAAGTTTCTGAATCTCCCTCCTTCGTGACGTAGCTTCTATAAGTTCCGCATCAAAACTACCCAAACTGTTTTTTTTTTTTAATCGATTTTATATTATTCCTCTCGGAAGAATTGGTGAATTTTTTTCCCTCGTGTTACCAGGTATAGCGTACAGACGTAAAAAAAATAGGTCAGATGAGAGAGATAAAACACATTTCGTTATGTCAAGTCTGCAACAGGGTCTCAAGGAATTAAAAATCATAAATTTTGCTCTTAAAAATGGAAAAGTACAGTTAAAGAACAACGCGACAAACAGACATAAAAAACACTTATTTTTTCAAAAGGCTTCCAAAGGCTTTGCTTCCACTTTGTTCACAAATCAATGCAATGAAAGCGTGGCAATATCTATGGTTAAATTCTCTTCCTAGGAATTTAGGGTGTTTTTGATGACAATATACAACAAAAACGAAGACAAAACCAAACAAAATGACTGAGGCAAGTGAGCTGCGGTCCTGACGCAAGCTACAAGTCAGGCGGAAATGCCTGGCGTTGTCTCCGTGAATTTTTTTAGGAGTTTAATAAGAGTGTGTATTTTCTTATAAAAATATGGTAACATTTTGCTTTACGAAAGTGATTAAAATCTGATCTCTCCTTACGATGCTAAGCAGACAGGTGATAGCTATAAACGAGAAGATATATAATAAATTACCTTCATATTTGGGACCCTGAAAAAAGCTTAAAAAATACAAAATACCGAACTCGTTACCTTGCGCACGTACGAGACTCGAAACGATGTAACTTCATATTACGAAATAGTTGCGTCAGATTGTTTTCGTTTTTAGCAAGGATGAAGTATTTTCTTGCCAAGTTTAGTCATGTCGTGATATCGAAGTCCCCGCCTGAGATATTTCCGTGAAGCGGAGATTTGTTACAGAGATTCGAAGATATATTTAGATATCTCCGTATTACGACTATTACGGCACGTTCTCCGGTTTTCTAACAATCGTACATCAATGGAAGCGCTTTGTTGTTAAGATATTTCGCAGGTAAGTTCCAAATACTAAAATAAATACGCTGTAATAATTACTTCTTTGTGGGCTACAGACCTTACAAGAAAGACATATAAACTGGTACACGTCAAAAGGCGTACCTCCAAATAAATTCGAAAACCGGAAATCTCTACTGAAGACATCCTGTGTTGGTTTGGCATATTTTAAAACAATCGTATTTCCAGTTAAAGACCCCAATCTCCCATATTTCACCATAAAATAAGACAAGATATTTCCTGGTTATTCGTATCTCAGATAAAATCTTGCCCCGGCTTCATTTTTTTCACTTTATCCTAAGATACTCTGCACATGACATCAAACATTTCTAGTTTTCCCGCGCTCGCTCTCTTCACGTGACTACAGGGCTGGCCTTGCATATATATAGACGTGGTACTTAAAGTCTTCAAAAATTTGACGCGCGGATTTGACCACAAGTGGTTTGTTGAAGAGCGAACGACTTTCTAAAACAGAAATGAGCATTTTAGTAACAGCGATAAGGTCAGGTAATTTGGAAGTCGTGAAGGAGAAATTTTCTCGACCGGTAAGTTTCCTTTTGAATTACTTTAAAGTTTTAAAAACGGTTAGAAGCGACAAAGTTATGTCTTGATTAAGCTTACGGTGGATTTAGCGAGTTAGCTTTAGGACGAAATGCCCTACATCTTTACGTCCATGTTTAAGAGCGGTGTTTGCTTCGGTGAAACTAGATTTTACTTCATATGATCTTAAAGTATGTATCACTGCACGTAAAGCCTGGTGAAAAGTCATTGTCTCACACAAGCGACAGATAGTCTGACTAACGCGATGTTATATACAGGCGCTGTTATGGAATCCCTAAGTACCAAGTTATGAGAATACGAAATATTTTAAACAAGACCTTGGTATGATTTTAAACCTCTTGCCTCGCTCAGGGAAGCCAGGTCAATACTCCCATTCAGCATGGACGCAGCCCACTTCACATTGCAGTCCAAGCACAGAAGCTGGACGTCATGAAATACCTTGTCGGGAAAGGAGCCGATGTCAACGTAAGTTATTTACTTGAGTTCATTTACGAGGCTTCAGAGATACGGAGTCAAGACAATAGCAACCACTTCAGCTGAATGTCGTGTATGACACGCTTTTTCGTTCAACTGGCTGATTAATGAATTGAGTCTATCTTGATAGCTGAATAGGTGTCCCGCTGGCAAAATAAAGCGATGCGTTGAATGCAAAGAAAACATCGATGGGAAGAAAAAAAAACATCAGTGTTCTCCTCCATTGGTTTGACAGCTCGACGCCTATTAGACAGAATTTGCATTTTATTTCTCACGTAAGACCTTTCGACCTTTGCAAGGAAGCCTACACGCCTATCTGCTGTCACAGTCACTTTTAATTCTCTCTTCAGTTTAAATAAACCGCTATCATGCTTATTTATCCACAAGCAGAAGAAAAGCAAGGAAATTAATTTAGTCTGTATCAGTGATTGGTTGAGTGATGATCAATACGAAATCCTTGTTTATCGTGCACGATAACTAATTGAGCGTTGTATCCCTAAGATGACGTCATACCAAATTAAAATACCTCAATTTGTTTGGCGATGCATTTAACTCAGGTGAACATCTAGCAGTAAATGATAGATAAATTCCTTATTGCATTCCTGCGATATTTACTTCAACCTTAGCTTTTCCGCAAGCCTTTGAAGTTCGGTATTACCACCACATTCCTACTGCACTAGACTCCTAATTTATACGTCTGTGCACATGCACAATGTCACGTACTATGCGAACATTTTTTATTGACTTAGTAATCAACGCCTCAATCCTTCTAACTCGGAACAAAACAAAATTCTTAACTGTTTGCATATATTTTCCCCGAGGTAAAGCTCTGAGAATTGAGTGGAAAATCAAGACAATTTTTATTTGTTTATTCTCGGAATGAAATTGTCTGGCAAAAACTGACTTCCTCGGGCATTGTAACAACGAAATATTTAAGTTGTAGAATATGCTCTCTTGAGCCATGTACAGTGTAAGGTGGTTCTAACTTTTTAGCCTGTTGATGAAAGTCGGAGATATGTGAAGCAGAGAGTACATTTAAATGACAATTTTACGTCTACGATTATGACTTCCGTGTTTACAGTTTCCCCTCATCAGTTAGTGGAAATATGAACTTGATTTACCAAATGACCGCGTCAGCTAAAGAACACATCAAAATTCAATGTTGGCGAGGGCTAACTAGAGAACAGGGCAGCTAAATAGCCGCCCGCTACAGTCCACCGAATCAAGTTTAACGGACGTAAACACAAACCCATACCCTCCTCGATCCATGAGAGGGGAGAGAGGAGGCTGGATGGAATTACCCGTTTGAGTTTTCGTTGTAAGAACATACCAAACTGTTTTGAATTTGATAGACTAGCTCTGGAGGATGAAATTTTTTTTGTTGGTAATGACGCCATGACGCCATCTTGGATTTCACTATTTTCTCAAAAACTCAGAAAATAACATCAGCCGATGGAAAACTGATGAATCGAAGATGATGATAAAATGTAGAGAGGTACTTATTCTGCAACGAGGTTGCTTATTCTGTAATGCTGCTCAAGAAAACTGTAAAAACGGAGAATTTTGTCAAAAAGAAAACATTTGGCTAGACCTGCAAATCAAAATACTGTCTCTATGGTAATCTAAAATGACAAGGAGAAAAAGTTGACACATCAAAACTTCACCAAGGGATGAATGAACTGCTACTTAAAGTTTCAGCGTAAAAGAGTGAATCCAAACGTCTTTAAAAAAAAAAAATTGAAAAAAAAAAAAAAAACGGTTGGGCGGTAGCATCCTCCCCTCTAAGTCCGGGTTAACAACGGTTAACATTCTTGAATTGTACATAAACTTAGCTCTTCAGGCTACAAACCTTACCATAACTGTTGAAACTCTTTGTTTGTTAGTTTTCATATATTTTGCCGCTCCCACCCCTTTTCAATGTCTGCAATGCAACACACTTCAGAACTTTTGCAGAGCATTAAGACCACTGATGTTATGTATTTTTCAGCTTGCTGACGAAGATGAATGTTCTCCGCTGTACTATGCAGTCTTGAACGAGAACAAAAATCTTGTCGAGTATTTGCTTCAAATGGTGAGTAAAATCAATGCTAGGTGTGTTCTAATAGGACGTAACGTTTGATCAACGAGAAGTTTGGGCCTTATTTGGCGTCATTTCACTTACTTGTTTGCCGTTAGTAATTGTTCGGTCGTGATCTCGTACCAACCAAATTGAGGTTTGGAACAAACACAACGCTTTAGTGAAATTTCGTTAAGAATGAAATGTTGTTCGAGCTTCCGAATGAATTTTCGAAGACTTCAATTTAATTTTCAAGGCGAGAACCGGTCGTTGAAAACTTTTACCGAGCCAAGGGAAATTTTGACTGACATTTCGCATCAGCAGGAACAATTGACTTTTTCGAATGTTTGTTCGAACCGAAACTTTTTGTTCACATGTGTCAAAAAGCCCCAAAGTTCTTACATTTCGCCAAATTTTGTTTGCATTACCTTAGGACAGCACTGTACATGTAGAAATCGAAAGGCCTAGGGTCAACCATTATGCCACTGTATCTCACACAACTATCAAAAAGTACTTACATCTGAGTAACAAAGGACAAGGGCCGCACCTGAAGAATATCGGCCAGATCGAAGTATTGACAGTTCAGACCAAGCGCAGCGAGGTCCGTTCAAAAATGACCAAGAGCCGATATTCTTCCAATAAGGATAGTTAATTATTGAGAGATTATTTAGAAAAAATCTCTCGATGACGGACTGGAAAGACACCGTGAACTTCTAGCGAGCAGTTTTAACGTTTCAACAAAAAAGGTTAAAAGAAAAAGGGAAAAAGAGCGTTTTACAAAGATTACTCGTGACAATACCCGGTCGAATACTTACACCTAACCGCACCTTTCTAATCCCCTGGAAAACGTGGAAATTGCATTGCCAGGCTTCCAAGCTCCTATAAATATAAATTTCTTGTGGGGCTAGGGGGTGGGGGCAGGGGGCGGCATGCCCCAAAGGCCACTAGTGGCTCCCACCTTCAACGCCCTATTAGCTAACTCTTCTGCGTACGTCATTAAAAATGCACGTTTACGCACCCTGGGTTCTCATTGGCTAATTGCGAATTTGGGTATGGTAAATAGAAAATATCAGACCAGCTATAGAACAATCTGATTGGCTGACTTAAGTTATTGGCCATCTGAACTAAGAAAGTCTTGTAATAAGGATACATCATTACGAGTAAGCCTTAAAGCTGCATTGAATTGTGGATCCACTTACATCCTGATCCTCAGTGTCAACCAAATGCAGGCGCTGCAGTTTTTACGACTACTTACTTTATCCATCTGAATTTTGCAGGGCGCAGATCCTGACGGCGAGGATCCAGAGGGAAATAAACTGATGGACACTGTTAAAGACGAGGCAATAAAAAGCATGTTGAAGAATGTATAGAATTTAGGTAAGACTAACAAAATTGAAGAATGCATAAGATTTAAGTTAGATTAAGGTCGACACACTCTAGTGAACATTTTGCAAGAACAAGATGCTGGGACATGTTGCAGCGACAGTTTTCCTCGTTAGACATAGACAAAATGTTATCGACATAGACAAAATGTTATCCCCAAGCAACAAGTTGCATGAAATTCGGGCGGCAAAAAATTCAGCTGAGACAAAATGACCTCAATTTTCAATGTCGCCTCGTGTGCACTTCTCTTGGACACTGTCCCCGCTACAACATACAAATGAAGCACTATCCGCTTCGTGTCCACCAGTTTGCATGCTGTCCCTGCCACATTAGTTCTAGCGTACCCTCGAAGAGGTTGTCTCCGCTTCACCTTCCCGCAACATGTGTGTGTGCCCAAATGTGTGCTGACCTTTAAGAATCTTAATATAGATGTTTATAAGAAATATCTGTAATACAGCTTGGAGCATTTGTTGTACATATTGACATAAGTGCTCGAACAATCTTTGATCTTGGGGTGCAATCGCAAACCTTACGACCGAGGGCAAAATAACTGCCTTCGTATTACTGAATTCATTTTGGCCGAGACAGAGAGCATTTTTACTTCAAAATGATCGGCTCTAAGGTCCCTACGCAACGGCGAAGAAAACTGCTTTGATGTCGTTGAGCAACAAAGGCGTCTCGTATCGAGAATATTGACGATGAATAGATCTTTTCATGTACGGTTTCTGGCGCCATCTTATTTGGACACGGCAAAACACACGGCAAAAATTACAGTAAATCTATGGAGAAAATGAAGAATATAATGTCCAACTACTCACGGAAAATTCGAGCTCTGAAGTATTTATGAATTGCAAACTAAAGTTACCAGGTAAAAGAATTCACTGATCTCATTTAAGGGGAAAAGCCTCGCTAGAAAAGCTTCAATTAAGGTTTCCATTTTTTCATACGTTTGTCCGCGAATCCGAATCGCGATTCTCGGGAAAATTTAGAGACATTTGTATAAAACATTAAAAAGTGCAATTCCTCGCCTCACAGCAAATCTATGTTCTTCAACGTTGACCAAAGAAGCCTTCTGTTAGGTATCTTTTCCTTGTAATTTATCAAATACTCAGAAAATCATTCACTCTCAAATTATTGGACATCAAACTTTTAACTTTTCCCACACATATCCTCAACTTTTTGGTGTGTTTGGCCCCCAAGCAAGATGGCGTTAGAAACCGTGAAAAGGTCTTTTTATCAAAGAGCAAAGGGAAATAAGCGGAAATGTAAACCTAAAACACACAAACACTGAAAGAACTTTTATTATGTAGTGGAGAAGTGGAAAACCAACCGCAAGAAATCCAGGTCTGCCTTTGCGTAATCGATCATCTGTCATAGCCGCCGGCACGGCCTGGGACACCGTTACGGCATATGTGAACATTTATCGCCGAATCATATTCTATCCCAGGCATTGACCGCCGGCTTGCCTACGAAGTTGAGCTGAGTTCAACTTCGCAGGCAGGCCGACGGTTGTCGGCGGTTGTCGGCGATGAAAATATTTTATGTGAACATCATCTGCGGACGCAACGTACTCCAGTAAGACGATTCGATTCATATTTAGGGATAAAATGGTTGAAACTTGCGCAATTCGATTTGCATTTCGTGCAAATTTGAGTACGTCGGCGATCCATCGCAGATGCACCGGGGACCCACTGGGACAGATCGCCGAACGTTGTCAGTTGCGGATAGGTCGGCGGGATATGAGAACCAGGCTTAAGAGAACTCCAATGCGCAAAACTACCATCGAAACTAAAATTAAGAAAATGAAGAAAACTCACCACTTAAAGACGAATACTCTAAAGCGGTTACCAACCACAGCGCTAACTGGGATGACTATGGTGACAAAGAGATCCGGTGACCTGAAGTACGTAAAAAATAAATAACATTACAGACCACTCTGACATCAGCGCAAGGACTTGACGGCTACGACTTAGGGGGCGAACGAGAAAGAAGATTGCAACAACAACTGACAACAGTGTTCCGCATCCAGCAAGTATTTTGAGCCAGCTATAAATAACCACTAGAGTAGTCCACAGCTTATTAA